GAGAGAGAGAGAGAGAGAGAGAGAGAGAGAGAGAGAGAACTGATAGAATCAGGGTCAGGCAGATCCAATCTGGTCACCAGCCTGGCTTCCTGGTTCCAATTTCTGTTCCTCAGAATGCACATCACAGCTCTTAGAAAACTCTCCTCCATTGGCTGTGTGCTTGTTTTTTCCCCAGGTATATGAGCCCCAAGAGGGCAGACCTCTCACCAGTTGATCTTTGGGTACTCCAACTTGAATACCAAGCACATAATAAAAGCTTTTTTTTTAAACACAAGACTATATACACTGTGACCGAGGCTGGCCTGGAACTGGCAGCTTCAGCCTCCTTTGCTTTGAATCTGCAAGAGAGTCCCACCAGACTTGACGAAGTTCTGGGACTTTCTGTGTTACAAACAATATGTAGATGGGTTTGTGGAATCTCTTGGGGGTGTGCAGCAAGTTGCCGAGGCAACTTATAGAAAAATGAGTGTGATTTGGTTTCTGGCTTCAGAAAGTCAGGGTCTACAATGGCAGGGACAACATGACTGTGGGTGACAGGAACAGGAAGCTGAGACCTCACAGCTGCAGCTTCAGGCATGACCCAAAGAGAGCAAACTACAGGTACAGGTACATAACGTCTGTTACTCTCACAGCTTGCCCTCAGGGGGAATCTTCCTCCAGAAGGGTCACAGGACCTAAATCTTCTGACTTGGTAACACCAAGTATTCAGATGTCTGAGACTATGGGGGACATTCCTGACTCTAACCAGCACTCCTAAACTCTAAAGTATTTCTTACTACTGTCGTTTGAATGTTAAATGTCTCCTGCAGGTTCGTGTGTTTGAACCCTTGCCCCCAGTTGGTGGTGCTGTTCTGGAAGGTTGTGGAACATTAAGGAGGTGGAACCTTGCTGGAGGAAGTGAATCACTGCAGCCGGACCTTTTGGTTGGGTAGCATGGCCCTACTTCCTGCCAGTCTCAGCTTCCTGGCTGTGGACAGAATGTGACTAGCCACCCCATGCTCTGTCACTGTGCCTGCCCCACCACGATGGGCTGTGTCTATCCTTAAAGCAGAAGCCAGACAAACCCTCCTCCCTCTTATAAGTTGCTTCTTGTCAAATAAAATTGGTCACGGTAATAAGAAAAGTCACTACTATCCGTTTTTCAGGCCAGTGATTTACGCCACATGTGAACGCCCACAGCTAGCTATAACATTGCCTTCCTATGCTAATGCAGTCCAGCAGAGAAAAATCTCTCCACCGCAGGCCCATTTAACAACAAGGCTACCCTTCCTTCCTTCCTTCCTT